ACGAATATTCAGCAGGATTCCTCAAATAGTTGCCTGGTCCCCGTGAGACATCTTTGTTAGTTAACTCTGATCGGAATCTGTGCTTCTGCCAGATCGCCCCTTCTCACCTGGGAGTTGATCAACCACACTTGAGCGAATCTGACCCTACGAAACTTGCCGAACTCGTGCTGGCCAACGCTGTCAAGATGAAATGCCGCAAATTCGTTCGCGCCAAAGATATCGTCAAAGGGAACGCCAAACTAAACCTTGCCTTTGTCTGCAACCTGTTCAACAACTTCCCAGCCCTGGAGCCGGCGGAGGAGGAATTACCAAACCTTGAAGAGACACGCGAGGAGAAGACATTCCGTAACTGGATGAACAGCATGGGTGTCAAGCCGTTTGTACAAAATTTGTTCCTAGATTTGGATGACGGATGCGTTCTCCTTCAGCTCTTTGAGCTGGTAAAGTACTCATTATTAGCAATCGTTACACCTTCTCATACTCACTTAGGGAGTGCACCTGTGTCTTTTGGGGTAAATGTTCTTAAAAGCGCCCGCACACGTTTTCGATTGTTGTAAAGTAAGCTAAAAATTGGGTGCATGAGCACTGGACTGCGCTCTCTACCAACAAGATATCGGACTTACAATGTACTACTCGATCGTTCCATAAATAGTATGCTATCGATAATCCCATCAAAAATTGTCAAGAATTCACCGTTACTTTCCTGGGAAGAGATGTATGTAAAGGTACCCAGTTAAATCCTAAATCCGACTATTTGAATTAAGCCAAAGTCAACTGCTTGAAGCTCAGTGTGTGATGTTTAGCGCACTGTAAACAGTTTTCAACACCTCACCTAAGATCCACTGGTTTCTTCTGGTTCCCAGAATCGCTCATCAGAAAGGCATATCGGTCCTGATTGCTAAAATTTCTACTGGGAGAAATAACAATTTCGATAAGTTCAGCAATCTTTGGAACCCACAGGTAACTTTCCTTCTGTTTACACAGGTGAAGAATGGCGTAGTGGACTGGAGCAAGGTGAACATGCCACCTTACAAGAAGATTAGCGAGAAGATGAAGAAGCTAGAAAACTGCAATTATGTTATCGAGGTCGCTAAAACACTGGAATTCTCTCTGGTAGGGATCGGGGGCAAAGACATCTTGGACATGAACAAGAAGCTGATCTTGGGTATCCTGTACCAGGCCATGCGCGCCTATACATTGGTCATCCTGCAAAAATGCGCGGAGAGCGACAAGCCAATCAAAGACGAGGAAATCATCGCGTGGGTCAACGAGAAGCTGGATGAAAACCAGAAAGATACCAGAATAACGGGTTTCAAGGACTCCAGCATCGCAAGCAGTCGATGTGTGATCGATCTAATCGATGGTATGAAGCCTGGCTTTATACGTTACAACATGGTGTCTGATGGGGAAACCGACGAAGACAAGCTATCAAACGCCAAATACGCCATCTCCATGGCGCGAAAGATTGGCGCCAGATTGTACGCGCTGCCTGAGGACCTGGTGGAAGTGAAGGCCAAGATGGTACTGACTGTGTTTG